CCCACCATGAGTATTGAAACCAGGTTTCTAGCGTTATAAGTCCGCAGACATGTCGCTGTACCACAGGAGGCATTTAAATTAGAAATAACCGAGTTAATCGTGGATTGGGCCGGCCACACAAGTTCAATAAATATATTTCTGAATATAAAAATGATTGTACCTTCACGTGTTTACAAATTATAATAAATTATAAAGCTGTCTAATTTCAGCCTAGAATTCTGGCTAACTTTCCGACAACTCACACATCCATCGTGTCTCTGCAGTTCTTATTCTGAGAGTAACTGAAATCTTACGCCATAAGATATGTACACATTCATTTTACAGGCCTGAATGAATCAGCATGTTTCCACTATACTGCAAAAAAATATTATCGTCTGCAGAGTTCTGCTATGACATCATTTATGTATGGCAACGTCCTTGAAAACCGACAACATTGATGCAGTGTTGACCGGCTTTGCAAGAAAAATATTTAAAATTTTTCGTACCACGTGATGCGACCTCGGCCAATTACAGCAAAGAATTCATGCTAGAGAGTAGAATAATATATTTTGTTAGTTACTTTAATAGTCACATTTACTGTTATTTTTGCATCTTTTTTAAAGTCTTATTATTATTATGAACTTATTCGATGCTTGTTATTGCGTATACTTGTCAGCTAGTTAGTACTTGGGGTTTATTTATTACTTCTGGCTTTTCACCCCTTATGTGTTGTAAAGTGGCATAGGTTAATTAAAAGACACATTAACTGGATTAGACCTACTTCAGAATAACTTTAGTTTACTATTTTCCCTTTTATTACATTTAACTTGGTTATATTTTAATATCGTATCAATAGTTTTGCTATTTAGTTTACGATTGTTTTATTCATATAAATGTATCATTTATTTTTTTTATCTTCATAAGTCCCCCAATCAGTGGTATAGTTTATAGAATTACAATGTTAAAATCTGGAGTCAAGTCCTTACTGTGGACATTGTGTTGTTTTGCACTAAAAAAAAACATCGTTGTCTTCCTACACCGGAGGCCCGGTATGGCCAGGTGGTTAGGGCGCTCGACTCGCAATCTGCGGGTCGCGGGTTCGAATCCCCG